GTGAGGCACTGACCCATAAGGGGGTCATCAAAGTCACGGCCGGCTATACACACGTGTGCGCCCTCACCACCGATGGACACGTCTATGCATGGGGTGAAAATAATTATGGACAGGTTCAATTTAGCATACGACTCTCTCTCTCTCTCTCTTTCTCACTCACTCACTCACTCACTCTCATATGTATATTATATTTATATTAATAGTTGAGTACCGGTTCGACCACCAGTTACCCTGATCCAAGGAAAACAGCCTGGGGCAAGAATGTGGTGGACATATCGTGTGGTAATAACCACGTACTGGCGCTCACAGATGTCGGACATGTGTATGGATTTGGATTTAATGGCCATGGTGAATTAGGCGATGGCACCGATATTAACAATACACTCCCGATTAGAGTGAAGGGTCCTCTCGAGTCGTGTCGTATTGTGTCCATTGCCTGCGGAACCAACCATTCAATGGCGGTGTCGGATACAGGAGCTGTCTATTCATGGTATGACTTAGTATTACAATAAGTTTATAAAATGATTGTTTCAAAAGTTTTGACACATAAAATCTACCTGACCTGTGTAATATAGGGGCTATAATGGCTGTGGACAGTTGGGTTTAGGCAATCACACAAGTCAATTATCCCCGGTGCTAATCACACATTTGGATAACATTTGCATATGTCGTGTAGTTTGTGGTATACATCACACAATGGTTTTATCCAAAGATGGGNGGTGCTAATCACACATTTGGATAACATTTGCATATGTCGTGTAGTTTGTGGTATACATCACACAATGGTTTTATCCAAAGATGGGATTATCTATACGTTTGGACAGTGCGATAGGGGACAGTTGGGCACCGGCAACACGCAGAACCTATCAATGCCGGTGCCAATAGATAATAGTTTTGGGAGATTCAGTGATCTCGCATCCAATCGGGCGACCCATATGTCAGCGGCGGTTACAATGGATGGCCGGTGCTATGTATGGGGTGAATGCCAACCCCCACACGGAAACGTATTATCGCCTATGAGTAAGAAATTTATATAAATTTCAAAAAAATTGACATTTAATTGAAATAAATTATTTCATAATTAGAGACGAGTTATGAGTCACTGCACGACGTGTTTGCCGTTTACTCGACGCCTACCGTTACTAATGAAATGGTGGTATTGAGTGATGTGTCGGACAACCCAGTGATGGCTCGTTTGGCTCAAGCCTTCGACGACCCAAACACCAGTAACTTCAGGATCATTGTCGAGGGAAAGCCTATTCATGTCCACAACGACATACTCCGCATACAATGTCTACACTTTAGGGCTATGTTTGACAATTGGCCGGAAGGTGTCAAAGAGGAACTGGAGGTCGTATTCAGTGCCTTATAATTATCAATAGTATTGAAAACCTTCTCCCAATAGTTGACTGAATACTCGTATGTGGTTTACGAGGCATTCCTCCGATACCTATACACGGGTGAGGTATGTGTGGCACCGGAGGCTGGGATCGAGTTATTAGATTTGGCCGAATCTTACTGCGAGACTGACCTCAAGTCAAAGTGCGTCCGACTTATTCGCACCGGTATTTCAGTCGAAAACGTTTTAACGATTTATTCGGCTGTCCTTAAGTACGAGATCCCGGAGCTCGAGGACCTGTGCTTTATATACGCGTTGGCACACTTAACACAAGTGACACAAACCAAGGCCTTTAAGGACATGGATCCTAGAATATTCAAGGCCTTTATTATTAAGGCCTCTAAAAAGGGTGCTTTCAAATAGTCAACTGAAATGTAATGACTTGAATCAAAAGTTTTCATATTATATAATCAATTGAATTATTTTTGTGTTCAAATCAAATATCGTATTCACAAATAAAATTTAATATTTTTGGTAATATTTTTTTAGTCCCAAAATTACCCTGATCACGTTGTATAAGTTTTCTTATAATTTTTATATTATAAACTTTGTAAGGGCATTTTATTTATTTATTATAAATTATGTTTAAAAGTTTAAAATAATAAAATGTAATTTATGCACTAATTAATTAACAAAATTAAATAAGTAGATTACGTTACACATTTTTAATATGTGTGCTTGGATTTGGATAATATTTATACAAGGATCTGGGTTATTATTTTAGTAATTTATGTTATTGCAGTTATACTTATTATGATATAATATCCGCTACTAAATACCTATTAATAATTAGTAAATATTATTTTAAATTGTAAAATGACCTTATTCGAAATATATAATTTTAGAGCTTATGCTACCGTTTATTATGTAAACTGTAGGCTGGTATTACGACTGAAGTCCTGATAATCAAGGCAATATAATAAGTTTTAATATTAGTAGCTTCACTGCCATCTGTAATAATGTTTTGTTAATCAGACATTTCATATTTTGTAATTTTTAATACGGATGGATAACTACTGTAGTATTATAGATTATGAATTATATTATCTTAATCTCTTTTAATTTTATATAATTTATGGGCAATTAAAATGTTCTTGCATTTACTTTAATTTACATCAAGTTTTAACATATTTAATATAAAATAATCTTGCTTACTAAATTAACAATTGAACCTTAAAATAACACTTTAATTCAGTTTATTATTTATTAATGTTAAACTTTATAAAGAAGACTGTCAGAATCTGGCTAAGCTGGCAATCGGGATTTTTTGGTTGGATATGAAAGTTCATTTAATGCCGAGTCCGATTATGTAATTTATATTATCCTATGACCTCTGGTTCGGTCGCAGTGACCACTTTAATCGGGAAAATTTTTATATAAAATGTCAACATGT